TGCTTGGCTTTGGTGAAGTGCCGGGCCACGCGGTAGACGGTCTCCGGCACAAAGTCCAGGACTAAATTGAGGTAAACCTCGTCCTTCTGCAACAGAATGTGGGGAAGAGGGGGATTACGATGGGACCTACGGACCAACCCCCATCGGACCCCAACAGCGACAGCTAACAACACGGGAACACGGAAGAGCGTGCACAGATAAGTGAGGAGTGCAGCTTCCATTTCAAGATCAAGACAAAAACTCTACGCTTTCAAGACACAAACATGCAGCCTTCCTTTTCAATAGGAGACATTTGTTTGCCGTGGAAGACACAGTGGAAGTCCTGGCCACGGAAAGACCCAGGTTGTGCTGTCAGCCCCAAGGACGGAATATTCCAGGAGAAAGACATTCAACTGCAACCACACCGTGTGACAGTGAACTCAGCTCCAGAGAGAAGAACGTGACCCATAGCTGAGGACTAAGAATGCCCTCAAAACTGGCTGTGGCTGGAACACCAGCATGGAAGCCAGCAAAGGGAAGCCCCTGCTCAGAACAGACCACTGCCCTGTGGATACTGGAAAGCATGGATTATAGCAAACCCTATAATCTAACTATTCTTGGGCCAGAAGCTTAACACAGGAGCACACTGGGGAATAATAATAATAATAACAACAACAACACTTTATTTGTACCCCGCTATCATCTCCCCAAGGGACTCGGTGCGGCTTACATGAGGCCGAGCCCAAACACAACAATACAAGCAATAATCACAACAATACAAGCAATAAAAAACACATAGACCAGTGGTTCTCAACCTGTGGGTCTCTCCCCAGATGTTTTTGGCCTTCAACTCCCAGAAATCCTAACAGCTGGTAAACTGGCAGGGATTTCTGGGAGTTGTAGGCCCAAAACATCTGGGGACCCCAGGTTGAGAACCACTGACATAGACAATAACCTAGAGAGAACTACCTAGAGAGAACTACAAACAATTCTCTGGGGGAGATATTTTTTGAAGCATGGGTATGTCAAACCATGGGCACCAAATCCATGGATCCATCACCTGCAGAACGGAGTCACCTGGCGAGCTGCCTCCCTATTCTCACTAGTTTAAGCAGGCCAGTGCCCATTCCCAAAGGCCTGGCATGGTATTTTCTGGACAGATAGACTACACAGGACAAGGAAAGGGGTGCCTGAGAGTCTTACTGGGATGACTGTCAACACAGGAGTGTGTGTTCACCAGAAGTTGTTTGCTTTTGGATTATTTGGGGGGGGGGGGGGGAGAAATGAACCAGCAACACTGCTGCAAGGTTTCATCAGGACCAAAGGACGAGAAGGATTTAGGTCCCACTTAGCCCAGAAACACACAGGGCTGCCTTGGGAAGTTGGGGTGCAGAGTGACCTCTGCATCTCCCCGTCTGGTTGCCATCATCTTGGGTTTTTCTCGTGTCTTGGTGTCCAGGGCTGCCTTGGGAAGTTGTTATCTCTTAACTTAATGGACACCAAGGCAGGTGAGGGGCTTCCAAGAGGCTGTTTTACACCTACACACCCACACCCTGCTGGCTCACCTTTTCCCCACTGGAGTAGAAGAAATACCGCAGGCGCACAATGTTGCAGTGGTCCAGCTTCCGCATGATCTGCAGCTCCCGGTTCTGCAGAGGAGAGAGACCAAGGTGAGGGGCGCAACCCGAGGAGGAGGGCAGGGGAGGGCAGGGCAGGCCGGGCGGGGCATCACCTTGAAGCGCTTGTCCTGCAGCACCTTCTTGATGGCCACCAGCTCCCCCGAGTCGGCCAGGCGGGCCTGGTACACCACCCCGAAGGAGCCGTTGCCGATGACCTTGATGTCCGAGTAGGAGACCTCCTGCGGGCGGTCCGGCCCTTGGCCCGGCGTGGCCACCACCGTGGTCACCTTCCCGCTATCCCCTGCAATAATAATAATAATAATATTATAATAACACTTTATTTGTACCCCGCTACCATCTCCCCATGGGACTCGGTGCGGCTTACATGAGGCCGAGCCCAAACACAACAATACATAATAATAATAATAACACTTTATTTGTACTCCGCAACAACAACAACAACAACAATTTATTTGTACCCCGCTACCATCTCCCCAAACACAACAATACAAGCAATAATATCAACAATACAAGCAACTAAAAACATAAACCATAAAATACCCAACATTATCAATAATGCAAGGAGGAAGGAAGGAAGAGGAGCGTTGAGGGCCTGGCCTTGAGCCCCCTTGCTTTGCCCTGCCCATGTTCTCCCCAGGGTTAGACCGGGGTCTCTGGAAGAGGCTACCCACTGCCGGCTGACCCAGTCCAACTGGGCTTGCGTCCCTCCTGCTTTGCCCCTTGACCACCACCGGGGTGGGCCTGCACCCCCTTGCTGCCCCTCAGGAGGAGAGAGTGACCTCTGCATCTCCCTCTGAGGCTCGGCCTAGGACTGAACTTCCCACTCAAGGAGGGGGGCACCGAGATGCCTCCTCCCCTTTGAAAATGGCATTCAAAGCACCCCCAACAGATGGCCATCCAGGAGGAGCCCGTGTGCCTCGCTCCCTTGACCACTGAGGTGCCCCTCAGCACCTCCCTTTGAGGTGTGGGAGGGGGGGTCTTGGCCTAGGGCTGCAGTGAGATGCCCTGCTCACCTTTGTCCCCACCCACCCCTACCGCCACCTGGGCCACTCCTCCCCTTTGAAAATGGCATTCAAAGCACCCCTAACAGATGGCCATCCAGGAGGAGCCCGTGAGCCCTGCTCCCTTGACCACTGAGGTGCCCCTCAGCACCTCCCTTTGAGGTGTGGGAGGGGGGGTCTTGGCCTAGGGCTGCACTGAGATGCCCTGCTCACCTTTGCCCCCACCCACCCCTACCCCCACGTGTGAAAATGGCATTCAAAGCACCCCTAACAGATGGCCATCCAGGAGGAGCCCGTGAGCCCTGCTCCCTTGACCACTGAGGTGCCCCTCAGCACCTCCCTTTGAGGTGTGGGAGGGGGGGTCTTGGCCTAGGGCTGCACTGAGATGCCCTGCTCACCTTTGCCCCCACCCACTCTTACCTGGGCTGCCCCCTTGTCACCTCCCTCTGAGCCCTCTGAGGTGTGTATGTGTGGGGGGGGAAGGGTCTTGGCCTAGGTCTGCACTGAGATGCCTTGCTCACCTTTGCCCCCACCCACCCCTACCCCCACCCCCCATTCAAAGCACCCCCAACAGATGGCCACCCAGGAGGAGCCTGTGTGCTCCACTCCCTTGACCACTGACCCTCTGAGGTGTGTGTGTGTGGGGGGGGGGTTCTTGGCCTCGGTCTGCCCTGAGATGCCTTGCTCGCCTTTGCCCCCACCCACCCCTACCCCTACCCCCACCTGGGCCACGCCCCTCCCGTCTGCGGTTGCCAGGCAACCAGATCCTCCTCCTCCTCCCTTTCCCTTACTTAGTGGGCCACCCCCCTAACCCCTAACCTGAACCCGGATTCTCAAGACCCCCCCCCCCATCCAATGACCTCCCCGTGACGTCACCGCGAGAGGCCCAGGCCCAGGTATCTCTCATAATACTCCTCATCATAATAGGAATAGAGACAGAAGGGCGAGGGGGGGGGTGCGACCCTGGAGAGCCCCTTTCCCCCTCTCCGCGCAGACTCACTTCCGAGCTTGAGTCCCGGGAAGGAGCCCCCCGACGACAAGCTCCCTCCCCCTCCCCCGCCCCCTCCCCCTCCAGGCCCGGGCCCGGCGGCCTTGCTCCCTGCGGGGGGCGGCAGCGGGGGAGGGGGGGCCGAGGCGGAGGAGGAGGGGGCGGCGGAGGTGTTGGGGGCGGCGGCGGCGGGGGGCGCGTTGGGGTCGGCGAAGGAGCTGGTTCTAGGCCGCGAGGAGGAGCCGCCCGCGCTGCCGCTGCTCATGGCGAGGCCGGGACGCGGAGGAGGAGGAGGAGGAGAAGCCTGGCTCCCTATCTAGAGAGAGAGGCCGTCGCCACCACCGCCACCGCCACCGCCGCGAGGCCCCACGGGAAATGGAGTCCCCTCCACTCTCTCGCTCGCTCGCTCGCCCCAGTGCCGGCAGCCGGACTCCGCTTCCCAGAAGGCGCCGCGACGCCCTCCCGAGGCGCCGCAAAGCACGACGGGAGCGAAATGAAACTACACTTCCCAGACTGCGCCGCGCGGCAACGACCACCACACTGACCGACCTACCTTCGGGGGCGCGGGCGGGCCCCCCTCCTGTTCCTCCTCCTGTTCCTCCTCCCGCTCCGCCTCGGCGCTGCTCCATGTTGTCGGCGGCGGAGGGCCCTCCCGGGCGGAAGGCAGGCGAGCTCGGGCTGCGGCCTGGGCGCCGCGGGGCACGACGGGAGGCCGCGGGCCCTGCTCTGCTGCTCCCGGCATGCCCCGCGCCCAGCCTTAAGCAGGAGGAGGAAAGAGTCTCGTGACCCGGCGGCGGAAACTACGTCTCCCGTCGTGCCTCGCGGCAGGAAGCAAGAGGGTTGGGACGCCCCCCTCGAAAGGGCTGCTGGGAAGCGTAGTCCTGCGGAAGACAGAGAGGGAGGAGACTCCACTCCCGTCAGCCTCTTGGATGCTCCGGGGCCACAGACAGGAAGGAAGGAAAGATTAGAATCCGTGTCTTGTCNCCCCCCCCCCCCGGCTACATGCCTGGGCGTGACAGAACACCTCCTTAAAATGCCTTGGAAAGAGTGTGTGAATGGCTGCTTGCATGGTGCAGTCCAAATTATGAATTATTCCTAGTGAAGAACAGGGGCAAGATGCCAGGAAGTGAGAGGAATCTATCCCCAAGAAGGGAAACCTGATATAATATGGTTCTGTACAGTTCAAACCACATCATATGGATCTACACTGACCATATAATGCAATGTACTGTAGATGGGGTCTCAGTTTGGAAAGCCAATCCATTTTCTTTGGAAGAGAAGGCAAAAGGCCTTTTAAAACTACAATTCCTAACATGACTCCTGTTCTGTTGTGCGCTGGTCCTGTAACAGCTGTCTTTTCTATAGGACGTATACTTTAAGCCCAGCGGGAGGCCAGGGCGCCTCAAAGAGAGGTTCTCAGGGATTTTTCTGAAGTGATGGTCTTTAGAGTCTTTAATGATACAACAAAGTCTTTATTATGGAGGAAACAACAAATCTTCAATGGTTCAAACAACACTTCAAGGCTTTCTTAATGGGCTGGTACCTGACTTTAATTAACTGTACTTTCTCTGTAGGAAAAAAAACCCCTATTTAACCTCTCCCAGGCTGTTTACTATCTATGCCTCATCAGTGTGGGTCCTACTACCAATTCCAAATGCGTCTGGGTATCGAGTAGACCTACTATCTGAGGCTTGTAGATATTTCAGATGGAGTTCTGTGGATCTGTTGTGCTGTCCTCCCTCAGAGAATTCTTTGAAAACCTCAGGGTTGTTTTCCCTCTGCTGTGAGGCTGAGAGGCTGTGAGATCTCATCCAGAGCCTTGGGACCTTTCCCTGGAATTTCTGTTTCTGTTTCCCTGGATGTTCTTGAGAAAAGAAGCTTTTCTATGGGACGAGCTGGTCTACGTCCTATAGTTTAGCTTCCTTATGTGAGACTGCCCAAAAAATGGCTCCTTTCCCTCCCAGAGCCCTGAACAAGGGGCGGAACCAAAGCTTAATTATGATGGACAGGAGGCCTGCCCTATGACTGCAAACAGATAACAGAAAGAAAATAAAGTTGGAGCTCCTGGTACAGCCGTACCAGCACAACTCCATACCATTGTGCCATGAAAGTTAAAAGGGTGCTAAACTGCAATATATTTTACAATGCAGATCAGTATTTCCCAAACTAAGATCTTCCAGATGTTTTGGACTTCAGCTCCCAGAATTCCTGATAATTGGATAAGACAGCTGTGGATTCTGGGAGTTGAAGTGCAAGAATCTGAATAACTAGATGATCTATGCTCATAATTCCCAGACACTCGTCCTTCAGGAGCTTTGGACAACACTAGGGATTCTCAAACCCGGAAGACCAAAGTTTGGGAAGCATTGCCTGTAGATACACCTATTTCCTAAAATGCAGAAACCCTTTGCGGATGGGGGGAAACAACACCAGACCCATGTGGTGTTTGTATCTCTCAGTATAATCCTCCACCAAGCAATTTTCAGACAGCACTTTCCATAATTGTTCTTCAGCTCCAAGACCATCCAGCCACAAAGAGCGAAAACAACTCAAAAGGGAGGAGGAGATTGTTTTGGTCCGGACGTTGCTTCATCTTGATGACTTGGGGGATTTTGGCTGGCCTCTCGGAGGGGTTTGCAAAACACGGCGGCTCAAGGGATGAGGATTACCCACCAGGCTTGGCTCCACCACAAAGGGATCCAGAAGCAGGGAAACATCATCGCTCCCTTCTATCCGAAACAACAAACAAAAGTGGCTCCATAAATAGACCGTCTCTCGTGTGTTGACTCTCCCCTCCTCTGGCCTCAAACAGGGATGGTCCTGGCATTCGTCTTCTGCATTTTTTCCCAAATCTCCAGGTTATAGAATCACACAATCTTGGAGTTGAAAGGGACCCCCAAAGGCCATCCAGCCCAAACCTTTTCTGCCAGGCCAAAAGGCACAACTACACCCCCTCCTAGTGTGCATCTACATGTGGAATTAATGCATGTTGACACTACTCTAACTGCCATGCTCATGGCGTTGGCATCATAAGAGCTATAGTTTTATAAGGTCTTTAGCCTTCTCTGCCAATGAGTGTTGTGCCTTTTTGCCTGGCAAAAAAAGGCTTCTCCATCAAATAGTGTTATTATTTATTATTATTTATTATTATTTATTATTATTTCAGGTACTTTTACCCCGCCCTTCTCAACCCCCGAGGGGGGACTCAGGGTGGCTTACAAAAAGGCACAATTCGATGCCTACATAGAATACATATACATATAAAACAGCAATCAAACAATTATCACAGTTAAAACGGTCAATATATAACACAATCAATAAAAATAAAACACAATCAATAAAAAACTAATCTCAAGCTCAGCGTTCGTCTTTCAGAGTTCCATAATTCCATTCTACTTTGTCAATTCCTGTCCCTCGTCGAAATCCTTCTTTATCTGCCCGATTGTCCGAATGCCTGGTCCCAAATCCATGTTTTCAGTTTTTTCCTGAAGGAAAGGAGGGATGTCCCTGTTCTGATTTCTCCGGGGAGTGAATTCCACAGGTGAGGGGCCACCACCGAGAAGGCCCTGCTCCTCGTCCCTGCCAATCTCACTTGTGATAGAGGCAGGGTCGAGGGCAGGGCCTCCTCAGAGGATCTTAGACTTCGAGGTGGGACATAGAGGGAGATCCGTTCGGACAGATACACTGGGTCGGAACCGTATAGGGTTTTGTTGCCTCACCAAACTACAACTCCCAGGATTCTATAGCAGTGAGCCATGACAGTTGAAGTGGGGTCAAACTGCATTAATTCGACAGTATAGATGCACCCCTAAAAACAGGTTTTCCATTCTCTGCTTAAAGACCTCCAAAGAGCGAGGGTCCACCACATGTTGAGGAAGGCTGTTCCCCTTTCAAATCCCTCTTTCACTCAGGAAAGTTTTCTCAATGTTTTGGTAGAGTTTCTTTTTCAGGAGTCGGAATCTATTACTCTGTCTTAGGGTGCATCTTCACTGCAGAATGAATTCAGTTTGACCCATGTTAACTGCCATTTTCCAATGCTATTGAATCCTGAGTGTTATAGTTTGGTGAGGCAACAACACTATTTGGTGGAGAAACCTCAGAGGCTGTGTAAAACTATAACTCCCATGAAATCTCAGTGTAATGACTGAGAGTACTGTGAATAGAGGGATAAAATATGGAGGCCGTGACAGACTTTGTATTTCTAGGTGCAAAGATGACTGCAGATGCAGACTGTGGCCAGGAAATCAGAAGACGCTTCCTTCTTGGGAGGAGAGCAATGTCCAGTCTCGATAAAATAGTAAAGAGTAGAGACATCAGACTGGCAACAAAGATCCATTGCCTAGTCAAAGCCATGGTCTTCCCTGTAGTCACCTACGGATGTGAGAGCTGGACCTTAGGGAAGGCCGAGCGAAGGAAGATCGATACTTTTGAGCTGTAGTGTTGGAGGAAAGTGCTGAGAGTGCCTTGGATTGCGAGAAGATCCAGCCAGTCCATCCTCCAGGAAAGAAAGCCCGACTGCTCATTGGAGGGAAGGATACTAGAGACAAAGTGGAAGTCCTTTGGCCACATCATGAGGAGACAGCAAAGCCAAGAGAAGACAATGATGCTGGGGAAAGTGGAAGGAAAAAGGAAGAGGGGCCGACCAAGGGCAAGATGGATGGATGGCATCCTTGAAGTGACTGGACTGACCTTGAAGGAGCTGGGGGTGGTGACGGCCGACAGGGAGCTCTGGTGTGGGCTGGTCCATGAGGTCACGAAGAGTCGGAGACGACTGCATGAATGAACAACAACAACATGGCAGCGTAGAAGAGACCTGAAATAAGATAAGTAAGAAAGAGCAATAGATTGACTTTTGCATGTGTGAATCCCTCTGAGGAGCAGCTGAGGGAGTTCGGGATGTTTAGCTTGGAGGAGAGAAGGATGAGAGGGAACATGATGCTTGGGTTGATTTATTGGAAAGGATGATACATTGTGGAGAAAGAGGAAAGCGTGCTTCCTGTTGCTCCAGAGGCTGGGACACAATGGAGCCATGGATGCAAATTGCAGGGAAAGAGATCCCACCTACGTTTTAGGAAGACATTCCTGATGGTAACAGCTTTCTGACAGTTGGATGTGTCACTTTGAAGTATGGTACAACCTCCTTCTATGGAAGTTTTGTTAACAGAGGGTTGAGTGCTTGAATTATTTCTTCCCACACGGTAGTACGAGGTTGGACCGGATGACCTCTGGGTTCCCTTTCAAGTCGAGGGGTTCTATGTAATCACACACGACGTCTAGCAAGAAAGTATCTGGAAATCCCTTTGACGCCTCTCCTTTCCTGTTCTGGAAGTGTCCCGACGCTTCCAAAGAACAGGGTGGATCCTGCAAGGGAGATGTGTCATGAAGTGAGAGAACACATCGGGGGTGCACTTTGGCCCAGGAAGGAACGCAACTTGGGGTGACTGAGATTGCCTTAAACCCACACCTTTTC